TTAAAAACTATTCGTCGTAAAAAAATGATAATTTTTGTATAATTAAAATATACCCAAAATATTCTTAAAATAACCACCCCCTACATCATACCAAAATTTAAAGTTTTGATTTTTGGGGATAAAAACCTATATCTGTCAATCTATATTGGATGTGCATTATTTAAGCTTGCTTCAAATTGCATTTTTAGGAAAGTTATATCGCAAATTTACTTTCTTAAAACACATACTTATATCCAGTTCAACTTAACAGTTAAAAAAGTACCTAAATAAGTGAAAACCTCGTTTTGTTGTTATTTTTTTATTGGCTATTTATAAAATGAAATTCGTTTGGAACGCCTTAATAAAAAATAACTTATCAATTTGGTTGTTGCAGGGCCAGGATACAACAGCAGTGACGATCTGCTGGACTTTGTTCGTCTTAGCCAATTATCCTGACATTCAAGTAAGTAGAATGATGCATTTCTCATTTTGCCGTAAAAATGATTATTGTAAAATTGAACTTAGTGTAATTTAAACTCCTTTTTCAACAATAAAAAACCTTTTCAAGTTGTTTTATTTATTCTGAGACTTTTAATATAGGCTAACTGTTCTCAGTTGGGCATTGGATGAAATGAAGGTTAACTTTGATATTGTTTAGTGTGCGCCAGAGACCTATTTCACGGTGCTGTTCTGAGAGGTGATTTTTGGACTTTCTGTGAAACCTATTTTTTTTATATTCTTGTTAATTAGGTCATAACTAAAATTTTAAGAGCAAAATAAAAAAAATTGACGGTTTGAATTGTTTTAATTGGCTGTTTATTAAAAATATTATGCACTCTTTCAATTATCCAATTAAAACTAGCGATTTAATTTAAATATTTAATATTTGCATAACTAAAAAAAGGTTTTTACAATTTTTTTATATATTTTACTGTTTTGTTGCAATAAACGTTCAAACTTTTAATCTAACCTTTGACGTATACATTTATGTTCCCTTAATTAATATATCCTTAAAGGTTGCCATGAAACTTAGATCTATTAAAAATTTATTTGACGTTTGAATTGTCATTTTCAGTATACGTATTCTATAATTTTTGTTTAGTTTTTTAAAGTTTTTTATAAACAAAAATGAAAAATTGTAGTAAAAGTTACGAAAAAATTCATGAAATTTAACTAAGGACCGGTTTATTCATCTTTAGTAAAGTTTATCGGGTCGATAACTTTCATATCTTGGCAATCCAAAGAAATTATTCGTCAAATAAATCAAAAATAAATAAATCGGCCCTAAATAAAATGTGGCACCCTTAGAATTATTGTTTAATAAATGTATACTATACATTTAACCTTAAATTAAAACTTTAAACGTATATTACAACAAAACAGTAAAAGATATAAAAAATGTATAGACCTTTTTTTAGGAAATTAACTAATCTTTAATCTGATTTAAAAAGTTTTGATAATACTTAAATAAAATCGCAAGTTTTAATTGGAGAATTGAAAGTGTGCATACATATTTTTAATAAACATCCAATTAAAACAATTTTTTTTTTATTTTGCTCTTAAAATTTTAGTTATGACCTAATTAACAAGAATATAAAAATAAATTAGGTTTCATGAAAGTCCAAAAATCACCTCTCAGAACAGCACCGTGATTTTAATTGAAAAAACTTGTACATTAAGTCCAAATAATATTTTATTATACAAACTATAAATAAAAAACAACAAATTCAAAATTAGTAATATTCCGCGCAAAAACCATACAGGTTGTAACAAATAAAAATTCTTATAAATAAAATAGAAAACTAAATCCCAATACACAATAAAAAAATATTAAAAATTTTGTTAGAAAGGCCGCCTCCTAATTTTTTATTTTCATCTCAAATTGCTGTAATGCTATAAACTAATGACAAGCTTGTGTGTAAGAAAATTTATGTTTTTTCTATCTGTAGGCAATAATGGGTTTCAAACGACCATTTATTTTTATAGACTCGAGTAAAAGATCTTAATTATGGTATAATAAAAACCATTATGTTTCAGACCAAAGTTCAAGCGGAGTTGGATGAAATCTTCCAAGGCAAAGAGAGACCGATCACTCCTGAAGATATTAATAGATTGAAGTATTTGGACAGAGTAATTAGGGAAGTTTTAAGACTGTATGTTACTGCGCCTACAATTGGGAGGATATTAGACAAGGAAATAGTTTTAGGTATGTAATGGTAATATTTTATATTGAACAAAACTTTTTCTCTGAAATTCATGTTTTCTATTTATTTAATCGATAATCATATTAAATAAATTAACTGTAATGATTCGTTGGAACTTGTCAAAAACCTGATAGTCTAAGTTACAACAGATTCTGATTCCTGCATGCATTTAAGCTTTTGACCATCAGCACATGGATAAAATATTAACAATAACAATTTATTTGTTCCCAATTTCTTATTTTGTTTACGTCACAGAAACGTGCAAACTTATTTTCTTAATTCTGAAGCTTCATTGACTGACCTACGTCTACAATACATCAAGTTTACGCTTCTGATTTCCACATGCATCTTCTTTTTTTTTACTGTATAATGGCCTTTTCCTTTTGAGATTTAGCCAGCTGAATCTTCTTTTTTATGGAGCTAGTCTAAGATTTCCTATAGCTTATTCTTTTTTCTTGATTGTTATATAAATTCTTTAGCTTTATTATATTTTGAAATGTCCATTTTCTATCAATATGACTTTATTTTTTTTCAGTAATTTTTACACCAATCTTATGTACCTATATTCTGTAGTATCGGCATTGATCAACTTATTTTTGTGCTATGAGCCCCATATTGTCCTCCAAAGGAAGAAAGTCTTTAATTTCCACACTGTTTCATCAGCAACCTGTCACTTCAGCCAACAATACAGAACTGCTACAGGCTATAAATCACTGAATCCGGCAATCGGTGACAGTAAATTTAAATTTAAAGGCAGCGCAGTAGCTGCTGTTTAAATTTTGAGGTTATTATTAATTAATAAGTCATACTACTTTGAAATCATAAAGACTCGTTAAACATTTGTATTATTTTTTCCTGTATTCCATGTAGTCATTTATTATAACTGACTGATGACCCTTGTAGGTAGTAAGAGATTTTTTAAAATACTTTTTTTAACCATTAAACGTTTTGAAAACATTATCATTTCACATTATGCAATTAAATGTAGTACCATGGTCCACACCCAAAAGTCCCACCACGTGACTTTGATACATTAATAAAGGTTAATTTTTTGTCATGAATGCAGTTTTAAGCTAATTTCGTCCCATTTTTTAATATAAAGTTCTTAATTTAGAACACAAAAAATACATATATTGTATTATTTTTAGAAAATAAGACGAAATGAGCTTAAAACTGATATAAAACTAACCTTAATAATATGTATCAAAGTAACTTGGTGGGATGTGTGGAGCATAGTTCTTACTACAAAATTACTATTTAACTGTTTGACCTTATTATTTGTTCCTAAATACCTTTAACTATAATGGCGCGCCATGTATTTCCTTAGCTGCAATGAAGACAAAACAAACAATGCATCTGGAGCGATCTGAAGTTGACATGGTTGACATATGTAGTTTCTGTAAATCTCTTACCTAAAAACATTGTTTAACTAACATAATCTTTGGTTGAGTTCCAGTTAGTTTATCTTACAAATAACTTTAATATGGCTTATTGTCAAAACAATGCCAGATAAACTAACTGGAACTCATTCGGACATTGATAAACCAGCCCTAACTAACAATTAATTTTGTTTTTATTTAGATAATCAGAAAATTCCCGATGGAGTGATTATCAACGTGGATCTGTTTCAACTTCACCGAGACCCTGAACAATGGCCTGACCCCGAACGGTTTGATCCTGACCGTTTCCTCCCCGAGACAGCTTCGCAAAGACATCCATACGCGTATTGTCCGTTTAGCGCGGGACCCAGAAATTGCATCGGTAAGCATTTTATTCATATATATTATATGAGGCCTGTCAGAGCAAAGTCAATAATCTCCTGTCAGACTAAAACTGAGTAAATTGAGATAATTGATTTTGGTATTTTAAATTCTAGATTTGTATTTTTTTTATATATTATATTGAAATATTGTTGTTGTTAGTCTAGTAGCAAACTACAAGGTCTCCAGGATGCATAGTATAGGTGAAATCTATAATTATAAATTGGAGATTGCTGACTTTGATATGAATTGCTGGAGATTGCTCATTTTGTTGTAAACGTTTAATAGGAGATTTAGAAAAATAAACAATAAAATAATTGTATTTTTTTCCTTTAATGGTTATAAAATTTAACTATACAATCAATGTGGAAAAATTCTTAACTGGACCACATAAATCTGGAGTTTCTTCTAAATCTGGGACCAGGTTGCCTTGTGCAAAAAAGTTTTTATAGTACAACTCATCATCTTCTTCCCACTTTGCTCCGTAATGTTTTACTTGCAATGTTTTGACATTATCAGCCTTTTCTTGCTTTACCTTTACGTCTTATTATGGTATATATACTATTATAATAGCACAAAATAAACAAGATAACTTTTTTTATAATTCTTAAAACAATAAAACGTATATATACCTATTTTAAATATATTTTTAAGTGCAATTTACTGCAATAGAACTTAACAGTATGTACCAGTAAAAAAACACAAAATTGCATCTCTAAAATACGTTATAACATCAAATGTTAGGATATCAGGACACAAATTACTAATTTCTAATGGTGGAATTGGAGATTGTATACTTTGCTGCAAATCTATCAGTGGAGATTGTCGACTTTGCACTAAATGTTATTTTTAAAATAGGATTTTAGGCAGGATTTAGCTCCTTTTGCAGCACATAAACTTTATCATCTTATAGATAATTAGTTGAAGTACAGTCTCCGCCAAAAATCTAATTTTTGACCAATAGTGGAGAGTCGGTTTTGCTATGACAGGCCTCATATAATAGTAATATATAATTATGAAAACAGAAAGAAATCTATGAATTTTGTTTTATTTATAGGTCGTAAGTTTGCTGCCCGCATTACAAAAACCGAAGTGGCATGGATATTAAGAAGATTTAACATTAAGAGCATCGAGACTCCGCAAAATGTTGAAGTTTATTCGGAAGTCCTGATGCGGCCCCAAAATGGACTTCACATAGCGCTTCAGGAAAGACAATAAATTGTTTTAAAATTGTTTTTTGTAGCTATAATATATATATATATATATATATATATATATATATATATATATATACAAATTAAACATTTATACTTAATCTTACTAGTAAATTACATTTATCACGGATGTCTATAATATAATATATTTCACTTCACTTTTTCTCTCTTCACTTTTTTGTTTGAAAATTCTGGGCCTTGGTGCGGTTTGAACAAGTATCTAACAGGATAGTATGGCGCCCCATACTACAAAATCAAAAAAAATTCTGCCCACCATATCCCATTATAATTTTTCCATTTATTTTGACCCACTAAACACGACAATCACACTCAATTTTTTTATGGAAGCCTTTATAAAATATGAATTTTCAATTGTTTTTTTTCAATTTCAGGTGTTTTGTTTGTGTTGTGTTTTTGAGTATATCTTGAAATCTAATTGAAGGTTCTTGAGCTCTCTAAAACTTTCTTTTACATACTTTTGATATCGAATAAGTATTTTGACGCTAGCGATTTTAATTAAAAAAATTCGTTTTTATGGCAAAAATTGAGGTCGAAAATTTACATATCGTTCTGGGAAGGGTTTAAAGCAAACATATCACTCCAGTTGGAATGTTTTTATTCTATATTTGGGTACCTTTTTTGTAATTTTGATTTAAAAATATAATACCATTACCACAGACCTACAAGTCTGTGACCATTACCAAATTATGACTGATTACAAGTACAAGTAAAAGTATTTAATTAATGAAAAGATTTTCTTTTTGATCAAATATTTGGTCTCTCTCATCTATTACAATTAGGAACAATCAATGTTTAATTTAAAACTCTTCACCAACAGGACGAACCATTATTTCGTGAATCTAAAAACAATTTTTTTAATAACCAGGTTTTCAAAAATTAAAAATACCTACCTGAACATGTGGTTTTGTAGACAAAGCAAACATAACCACATCAGTGATATCTTCACTCTTTAACTTTTTGAGGGTTTTCAAAAATTCTTCTGGAGGCATCTCAGTATCCACTAAACCAGGGCTCACACTCTAAAAATGCCCCAATAATTATTTATTTAAACAAATCTTCATTTATCATACCGTTATCTTGATTTTCAGCTTGTGTGCAGTAAACTCCTTTCTATAATTCTCCGTCAAAGTAGTAACCGCATGTTTGCTGGCCGTATACACGTTCGACGGTTCATAATACATCGGATAATGCCCAGAAATGCTATTTATATTAACAATATGCCCATCAATGGCGTTTTCCCTCATCACCTTCACAGCTTCGCGCGTGCATATCAAAATCCCGAAAACGTTGACGTCGAAAACCTGCTTCCACACTGCCGTCTCCCCTTCAATCAAGTTGCTGATTTGAGAGGTGCCTGCGTTGTTTATCAGGATGCTCACAGGGCCCACGTTGTTTTTTATCCATTCGAAGGCAGGGATGATTTCTTCTTCCTTGGATATGTCGCATTTTATTGGGTGGAGTTTGCCTTTTTCGCTTGATAGCTTTTTCGAGAGAGATTCAACTCTATCCAGTCTGCGAGCCAAGCCGGCAACCTAAAGAAATAAAAGTTTCTTCGTAATAATCAGCATAATTTTTTAAAATTCAGTGGTATTCCACAAGGTTCTCTTTGTGGGCAATTTAAATAAGCAGGCCTGACAAGTGAACTTCTAAATCCTCTTTTATGAAAATTAAGAATGATATTTATTTTATTTAGCTTCAATGGACTAATATATCGATGACTTTCTGCCAAAGTATCGCAAGCAACATAACTGAAATTTCGGGAATTGAAAACAATTTTTGTTTTAAAGTCTGTTTTAAATTAAATATAGTCTAAAGGTTTTATAATAAGTAAATAGGTCGTTTTCAAAAAACACCCGCCTTACACTGTCCGTAAGTTTGAATTTCAATAACTTTGTTAAAAACCAAGTGAAAGCCTAACAAGCCCTTGGTAAACTCTTTAAGAAAATTTTTGTTTTGTTATTTCAGAATATTTTTTTCTTAATTTTGAAACTTGTGAAACAAACATTTTCGCATGTCCCATTAGCGTTTTATAAAACTTACATACATGTTTTTTTTTAATATTGAATAACCAGAACTTTGTGTTGCTTTATAGCAATCTATAACATCCTTAGTTAATACAGTAAACAATTTATATATAAAATAATTAATTTTAATCTACTTTTTTTAAATTTCACTCATGTCCCAGACATTTTTTCCGTTGCGTTACGTCCGTCGCGTTACCGATAGAATATTAAAAAAACATATATATGGCAACTTTTTTGGTACTCACGTGATCAACAAATGATGTTCGGACGTACCCATTACCCAGCTGAATTTATTTATTCAATCAGGAAGAAGATATCGGTTGAAACAGGTGCGGGTAACGCGAATGTAATAATTGTTTGTCCGCTAAGTTACTCAAAAAAATAATAAATATAAGGTAAGAAAAAATACTATTTTTCATGTTTAGGTTTATTTTAGGGCACTAAAGCTCATTGAGAGTAATTAATGACTATAATGTTTTATTATTATTTTTTAAATATGGTTTTACAAAACTTTTTCCACTGTGTTACCGAGTCCACTATGTTACATTATGGTAACGCAATAGAATTTAGGGTAACGCAATAGAATTTTTCGACAACAAAGTGGATATTTACCGTCGCTTTTATTAAAAGTAGTTTATGATTAACCAATTTAAAATTATTTGTAATTACAACTTATGATATAGATTACATCCAAAGAAAAATTCCACGCAATATAAAAGTACAAAAAGGGACCTTCACCAGCTTATAGGCTATATATAGTCAAAGAAAAAGGGTGTCTACAATTTAGAAATCTAAGTTGTTATTTTGCAAGTGAGCACCACTACAAGGGATTTTGTTTATGCATTACTCTAAAATCGTACCACCCTATATAGTTTCTTTTTTACGTTATCTGATTAGGTCCTTTGTCGGTTGTGATACCAATGTCTATTTCGTTACTTTTTTTAGTTTTTGTTAAAAAAAAATCCTTAAAATGATTTTTATACACTATCACTTGGTAATACGTGTTTATAAATTAGAGTTTAATTCACTTATACAGTGACTAAAAGAAAATATTAATGGTATTGTTTTTTAACAAAGAATTGAAATCGTTTCTTTTAAAAAGTAACTTAACGAACATACATATTTAAAAGAAAGCATACAATTTTTAATAAAAAATAAAATAAAAAATTGGAGTCAAAAGTTTGTGAACTAAGTACATTTTATTTCAAATTATTTTTATAACAACTTTTTTTATTGAATTAAATTTTGGATTTTAAATTCGTAACTCAGTGGAGATATATAAAGCTAGCTAAACACATTTTACTAAAAAAATCGTAAAAAAAATAAAAAGTCCACTGCCTGTCTTAAATGTAAGTAAACAAAACTTTAAACATTTATAAAAATCCAACCAAAAAAAAAATATTTTGATCTTCATTTTCCTGAAAGCGGGTGTTTCTTGAAAATGACCCAAATAGCTTATAATTATATCTATTTACTTGTTATAAACCCTACAGGTTATACATAATTTTTGCAACCACTGTAAAAAAAAATCTAACTCTAAAACGACTTTATAATTCTTTCCGAAATTTTGGATAAAAATACTTCAACTTATATCTTAGTTTACGTGTTCCAGGGTTTTTAGAGAAAATATTTTTAAAGCCCTTTTATTTAATAATGAAAAAACGTTCGAAAAATAATGTTAAGGGTAATTTTTTTATGTAAATAAAAAATATGCTGTTAAAGACCTATTTTTGTTAGTATACCCTAAAAATTTCGTACAAATTAAACGAACAGTAACGAAGATACAGCCCTTCAAAGTCGGTAAAAATGGCCCTTTTGAGTATTTTGCTGAAAAGTGGTCATTTTTGACGACTTTGAATCGCTGTATCTTCGTTGCTGTTCATTTGATTTGTACAAAATTTTCAGGACATAATAACAAAAATACGGTCTTTAACAGTATATTTTTTATTTACTTAAAAAAATACCCTAAAAGTATTTTTTCGAACGTTTTTTTATTATTAAATTAAAGGGCTTTAAAAATATTTTCTCGAAAAACCCTCGAACACGTAAACTGAGATATAAGTTGAAGTATTTTTATCCAAAATTTCATAAAGAATGATTTAAAACAGACTTTAAAACAAAAAATGTTTTCAATTCCCGAAATTTGAGTTATGTTGCTTGCGATACTTTGGCGCAAAGTCATCGATATATTATGTAGGTGCCATGTATAAAATGTTAAACTTTTATCGGTTTTTAAAAAGCATTATAATAGTGTAATTAATATTTTCCTACCTGAAGACCCTCTTTGACGAGCCTTTCTGCAATATCAGCCCCAATTCCACTGCTAGCCCCAGTAACGATAGCAACTTTGCTAACCCAACGTTTAAAACCAGACATATTTAGTGTGAATTGTTTAAATAATAAACCTAATGTACTGCAATAAAATCGACTAATACAACAAAAAATGTTAATACGCTTTTTATCCCACACTTGTAGGGACTGCACAACGTTGCCAACCCTAGGGAAATTTACCCAGTCAAGGGAATTTTCAACACCTTTAGCCTGAAGGCCCCGGGTAATAAAGGCTTTTTTTTATCCCAGGGTAATTTTCTTAGCTTATTATCCTAGTATTTTTCTACTGTCGATAGCGATTATCATTGTATTTGATATTCAAATATGACCTAGTTTTTTAAGACCTTTTTAAGACCTGTATTCTATAAGTTACTGCGTATTTATTATGTAGTTTTTAAAATAATTAAAAATTAAAAAGATTCTCATAAAAAATATTTATAAAAATAAAAAAATAAAATTTTGAATTAAATAAAACATGATCGATTCCTGCATTAACCATAATTTTGATCATTTTAAATCAAATGAATTGAAATGAAATGAAAGAAGTGCCTAAGTCACATTTCCAATTAAATTTACATTGTGGCTTCATCTAAGAGTTTCAGGTGGTATTTTCAAAGTGGCAGAAATATGTGCCCAA